GGAGGGGGGGGCTGTGGGGGAGGAGGGAGAGAGGGGCCTTGGGGCAAGGGCATGGGGGAGCCAGCGCAGGGGCTGGGGGGTGGGGGGAGGAGTGGGGGGGAGTGGGGGGAGGCTCCCTGACAGGCTCCAGTTACTTAGGAGGAACTCCTCTTAAAATAGCTCCCGAGACCTCATAGGAGTGTCCCTTTCCACCTCCTCCCCTGCCGGGGTCTTGGCCACCTTTCCGAGAACTAGCAGGGGACTGAGCCTCCCATCTGCCTGCCCTGCTAGAAGCTGGGACCGCCCCTGGAGTGAGCTCCTTCCCTTGGGAGAGGATTTCCCGGTCACTGGGGGGGGCTGGGGTTCTGCTGGGGGCTCCCCCTTTCCCCAGCCACACACCTACCGACCCTCCCTCCCTCCTATGCTCTCCCTCCTGGCTCCGCTCCAGCTCCCCGAGGGCAGGAACCGATAGGGCACCTGAACTAACTGTTTCAAAAAACCTACGTGACCCCTTCCCAGGAGACAACCTCCTTCCCCCTGGATCGAGGCCCCATCTCCCCCACTCCCTCTCTGCAACCCCTGAAAACTTGCTCTTCAGGGTATTTCTGAGCAGGCTTCCCAGGACCTGAGTGTGCATTAGCTACCAGCAAGGATTAAGCCTCCAGGGTGCCGCTGGGGGCTTATGTCCAAGACACCATCCCGGCCCTCCAGGGATTTCCAGCAGAAGGAGGCAAAAGAGCCAAGTGCCGAAATCGCGCCCCCCACCCAGGGACTGGGGGGCTCTTGAGCGGGGCGAAGGGGGCTAAATCAGGGAGGGTTCCTCAAGGAGACGTTTTTCAAAGGGTCATTCTCTCCCCAGCACACTCAGGAGGACCCTCCAAGCTGGATCAATGGTCTAGGGTTTTGAGAATTGTTCGGGAAAGTGCTCTATAAATGTAGAAATCTCCTAGCCACTAATGCATTTCTCAAGCACTTCTTCTGCCCAAGTGTGGAACCCTCCTGATGTTCTTTAAAGGAAAGCTGCGGGGGGGGGGGGGGGGGGACAGAGGGAACCACATAGTGGGGGAGGTTCTAATCCTGGCTCTAAGACTCGCTTTGTCTGTGACCTTGGGCTCCACACCCTACCTCTCTGGGCCCGTTTCTTCATCTGTGAAATGTGTGTGTCTCCTTAGAATTCTCTGGGCTGTGAAGAATGGTGAGCAGCGAGGCAGCAGGGACGCGGAGGGCACCGGGGACACTGGCCCCTTTTCTGGTCGCCAGGATCTAAAGATATCCAGAGAGCTCTGTCCCCTCTCCTTCCCCTTCTCTGGGCAGGGGTCACTTTCCTTTCCTTTCCTTTGGCTCACCTCCTCCCTCACCTCAGCCTCCTGTTCTGAGAAACATGACCCCTGCTGTAAAAATAAAGTGGGCAGCTTTGATGCCCGCCCTGCTGGTCTAGTGTCCAGGATCTCCGGTGGGGAGGAGAGGGTGAGGTGAGCCTGGAGATGGGAAGAGACAGCATTTTTGGGTCACAGACCCCTTTGAGAATAATATGAACGCAAAGGTACTGTGCGCTCACCCTCTGTCTAGCACTGTGCTAAGCACTTTTTGCATAAAAGAATATCTCATTCGGTCTTCATCGTCAGGTCCACTTCTGACGTTTGTAAGGCCCGGAGCAAGTGGACGAATGGAAATTACGTCTATGCCTAACTAGAAGTTAGAAGTCAAGATGCCAAAGTGTTAAAGTTTATCTGTTATCCTCCGAATGGATTAATTTTCCTTGGCCTTAATTCGAGGACCAGGTCCAGAAAGGATTCCCTGGGCTGCTTCTCGGCTCCTGCAGGGGTGGGGGCTCTCGCGTCTGCCTGGCAACGTTCCACCCTGCATGTCAGGTTCTGCCCACTCCCCAGCCCCTGCAAACAGCTGACCCTTGCCCACTCTCCGGGCCTACGGGTGCATCTGGCACGGTCAGCTCCTGAGGGGATGCGCCTGAGGACGAGGCTGGCTCCAGGTTGAGTCATCTGAGCAGGGAATTCTAGGATCCCGGATACCCGGAGCACGGTCTAGAAGAGGAGGTGCGTGGACCACCCTCCTTTCTGACACGCGAACTCCTTTTCCAGTGAGGAGATTGGGGCCACAGGAGGGCCAGAGCGAGGCCCTGAGGCCCCTCCCGGTGGCTCCGTCTCAGTAGCACTGCTCTTAACCATCCCACGAGGTAACTATCACAAAGTACAGATGAGGCTTCTGCAGGAGATTGCATAACTTGCTCAAGGTCGCGCAGCAGTGCGTGCTGGAGCTGGGATTGGACTCCCCAGCGCCTAACCCCAGGGCCACCGCAACACTGTCACAGCGACACGGAGGAAAGGCAGTGGGCCTCTCTCCTGGAAACACAGAGCATCTTCCCGACAACCTCAAGGAGCCCAGGATCTCTTTAAAGCCCGGCCGGGGACCCCCAGGTTAAGAAAGTGGGGGCACTGATGGGGCTGTTGCAGGGCTCAGGCCGTGACATGGGAGCAGGCTTCCAAATCTGAACCGGTGTCCAGACCTGCAAGGACTGGAGGGTCAGGGAGGCCGACAGGATCTGTGGTGGAGGGAGGGGGTCTGGGTGGCCGGCAAATAGCCCTACTCGCTTGTCCCTCCAGGTTGGATAAGGCTCCCTCCTCTGCCCTGGCACCTCAGCCCTCTGACCTGGCTGTAACCCCAAGCAGGGAGGCCTGCCCTGGGCTCCTTTACTCCCCACCCCCAAAAGGGAGACTCAGGGAATCCCTTGGAGGAGGGTGACAGCAGGTTCCGGGGGGACAGCCTGGGTGGGCAAAATGAGAAGTAGGGTGCAGCGGGCGCACATAGGGAGTGTCTGGCCTGATTCCCCAGCCAGGAGCATCACGATTTCGGGAGAGGTCTGTGGGCGGGGGCCGTTTGCAACTGGAGGCTCTGTTCTCCGGGCCCTGAGCCGCGGGGGCGCGGGCGGCGGGCGGCGGGCCGCAGGTGCAGGGGGTCCGCAGTGGGCCAGCCCGCGCGCGCACTCACCCGCTGCGGCAGTGTCGGCCGCGGACGTTCGAGTGGTCCTTTTGCGGCCCCGGGAGAGGGAGCCGCCGCCCGACTCGCGTTCCCCAAAGCAGAGCAACACAGCCTTCCAACACCCGAAAGGCTCCACATCTACCCCCACCCCCGACTACCCTCCGAATTGGCAGCTCGGCGCACGGGATGATGCGGGCGGCTGCGGGTGGCCCTGCAGTGCTGAGCCGCAGCCGCCCAGCCCGCGCTGGGGAGGAAGCGGGGTGCCCGGCCCGCTCCCGGGGCTCCCGGCCCGCGAGGCGGGGCAGGGTGCGCAGCGGGCGGGGGCGCCCGGGCTTCCGCGGCGGCCGCCGCCCCTCCTGCGGCTGGAGCGCGTCCAGAGCCGAGGCGCAGCGCCGCTCCCCTCTGCGCCCGGTCGGCGATCCTCCTGCCCGTCCTCCTCCTCCTCCTCCTCTTCCTCCTCCTCCTCCTCTTGCTCCTCCTTCTCCTCCCGGTGCCCTCAGCAGCGGCTCCAGCAGCCGGCCCCTCCTCTCCCTCCCTCCCCCTGCTCTTGCGCTCTCCCCGCTAACTTTCCCGAGCCCCGACCGGCGGCGCAGAGCTCGCGGCGGCTCGGCGGCCCACTGCAGACCGCGGGGCCGCGAGCGGCTGTGCCCTGAGCCCGTCCCCGCGCCCCTGGCGCGCTCCGGAGACCACAGAACGATGCCCGGGGCCAGGGACCGAGGCGCGGCCCCGGCGAGATGGCTGGGCACTGGGCTTTTGGGTAAGGCAGCCCCAGCTTGATCTCTTCTCCTCTTTCTCCACCCTGTTCCCCCAGGGGAGGGGACACTTAGAAGAGAAGTGCGGTGGACCGGGTGGGCTTTGGAGTGCGGCACGGAAGGAGCAGCGCCGCCACCAGTTTCGTGCCGGCCGCCCGGCTCGCGCGGCTGGGCTCTCTGGGGACGGTGCGTGTCCCCCGCCCCAACGGCCGCCAGCCCCGTGATTAGTTCTTTGCTGTCCCTGGCGCCTTCAGCTCCGGGCTTCTGGAGCTGCATCTTGGCGCTGCAGCACGGGTCTCTCGAGTCCTGAGGTTTAGGCTTGCTGGGGGGAGGGTGTCTGTGCCCCGGGCGTAGGGGGGATGCCAGGCGGGCTGCACCTGTGACTGTCGGGATGGTGGTTTCTCCCCCTACCCAGAGCTGTTTGCAACTTGGAGGCTTGATGCCCAGGCATCGGGATGCACCAGTTGGAGGGGGTGGAGGGGGGCCTCCCCTTCCTCCTGGCCCTTTTCCCACTTGTCTCTGCCCTCTCTCTCCTCAGTGCCCACTGTCTTTCCCGCAGCCCCACACTAGGGACTGGGGAGGGTTGGGAGGACTTGGAGAACCGTTCAAGCCCCCTTTTAGGAAAGATCTTTTCCTTCTCCTTACAAAGAGATACCACAGGGAGGACCTGTTTAACCTGCTCCCGGGCTCTTCGTTTTGGGATGAGTATGAAGACGGAGGAGACAGATCCAGAGGACCCCGAAGGAAGACAGTATTAATATCTATTAATATACACGTGACAGTTTTGAGTGGCGAACTCCAAGAGATTAGCGAATGGTATCAGTCCAGAATCAAATCCCCTCGTAAATCATAGCTGGATTTCAATGTAAGCTGACCCCATCTCTGGCACCTGCCCTTCTTCCTGTTTATATTTGTCAGATTTGGCTTTTGGCGGCTCCCCTCGTCAGGCTAGGTACATGATGTAGGCGTTTGTGCCGGCAACAGGGAGACCGAAGCTTTTAAGGGCGGCCGCTGCTGTGCGTGCAAATGTAAATAAACTGTATGCGGACCTGTGTGGCCACGTGTATGCACGTGGTGCGGCGGAGGGGAGAGTATTTCTTTCACTCAGGAGCCACTGATTTACTTACATCCCTACAGCTGGCGAGAAGACACGGGTGTTGTCTCTCGTCCCTCGGGTGCAGGTGTGTGCTGCTTTCGCAGTGACCCTGATGAGGTTGGCGTCTGCGAGGCCTGAGGCTCCCTCTTCTTCATCGGGTGGGCGCAGGGCCGCTGTGTGCCAGCTCTCCCCACCCCCATCTTGCCTCTGATCAGCCCGGGTGCCCACTGTGGCCACGGCAGGGGTAAGGGGTCCCTGGGGAAGTCAAACTCCTACAGTCATTAAACCAGCCCGCTTATCAACACCTCTGCCCTGCCTTCTGCCTGCGGCGGGCAGAGTCTTGGTACTTTGCTCCAGGTGGAAACGTCCCCTCCCCCCTTCCCCCAAGGACTGTTCAGCTGGGTAGACTTAGGACCATCAGGGTCCCTCCTTGGACCCGGCCCAGGCGGCCGCTACTGAGCCCTCACAGAGGGCATTGCTTTGAGCTTGGGACACAGCCTCTATCTTTGCTCCCAGTCCAGCGGGGGAGATACAGGGGCAATTGGACAGCCAACTTGAGAAGCTCCCTGGCAGCATCCGAGCTGGCAGGAAGTTTGAAAACCGTATCACAGAGCTCCCTTAAGGATGAGGAAGCCAGGGTCCAGAGAGGGAAGGTGACTCACCCAACGTGGCCAATTGATGGTCAAGTGGGACAGAGTCCAGTTCTCTTGGGCTCTGTCAGCCCAACTTGCCTCCCAGTTGACTAAAGTCTGGTGAGAGGGAAGGTCAGCAGGATTGTGCTCTTGAGCTGAAGAAGGGGTGAGGCCTGTAGGGATAGAGGCTTGGGGGCCCAGACACCTGCAGAGACTGGGCACAAAGCAGTAAGCTCCCCGGGGTCCCTCCCCCACCCCCACCCCATGTCAAACTCAGTTTCACTTATTGAGACTACAGATTTCTCATAACCCCACAACATATCCCTCTCTTAAACAGAGAAGCAGTTTCCAAGGTCGTACTGTTGCGGCTGGGGTTTACGTGGGTGTCAGTCCCTTCCTGAGCTTGTAACTGGTAATATGTCTGTCCTGCCCGCCCCTTCCTTGTTCCCCGATTGGCTTAATTGCTGTGATCTGTGTTTAATTATCACTTGTGAGGGTGCTATGTTGCACAACCCTCTTTCCCTTGGTATGTATTTATTAAGGGCTTGTTTAATGAGAACACAATTAAGGAGAAGGTGCTCAGACCCGCTCAGAGAAAAGGAAAGGAAAGGGCGAGGTAAGGAGTTCACGGAGAAGAGGGCGGGAACGAGGAGGAGTGGAGAGATGCCCTTGGTTTTGAGCTGGACTGGGTGACGGGCTGGTTTTCTGGAGATGCGGGCCGTGGGGGTATCCCAAAGCCCTCCCTCCCCTCCCCCCCTAGTGCTAGGATCAGTGCGAAAGGTAGGCCCTGGGCACAGGTACTGCCACCTCTTGCTGAGAGTGCAGGGATCTCTGCATAAGCCGCCGGCTGGTTGTGCCCACACGCCCATTCCGTGGCTGCAAGGGGGAGGGGGGGCAGGCTCGCTGTTTGGACTTGTTGGCAAAGCTGGTTTTGCTGAGCATCCAGTACTCTCTCGGGGGCACACTTCTGTCTCAGCAAAGCTCCTGGGGGCGGGCAGGAAGGAGGCAGGTTGTCTAGGGAGAGGGAGCTGAAATCTTTCCTTTGTCTCTGGGCCCAGGGGCCTTGGTTGGCCCAGCCCTGCCTCCCACGGCCCCCAGGGCCCTGCTCCCCAGGAGGGGTCTTGTCCTGCTGCCTCGGCCCACTTTCTGCTACTCAGCTCTAACTTTGAGCCTGTCTCTGTCTGACTCCCCCGGGGCCAGGGACCAGAGCGTATCAGCTTCCCTGTTACAGTCAGCCCGCTTCCGCCTCCCATGCTGCCAGGCCAGCCCTTGGAACTAAACTTAGAGCCCATGCCACCTTGCCCCTCTTTGCTCCCTCCCCTCTGGCGGTGTGTGTGTGTGTGTGTGTGTGTGTGTGTGTGTGTGTGTGTGATTGATCCTTGGATTTGGGGAGAGGTGGCAGACCATTTCCTGCCTTGGCATTTGCCTTGGAATGTTTGATGGTGACCGTAAGATTCCCGCTGGTGTGAATATTTAATGATTACATCTGCATGCGCCAAGGACTTAAAAAATTTTTTTTAATGTTTATTTATTTTTGAGAGAGAGAGAGAGACAGACAGACAGACAGACAGAGCATCAACAGGGGAGGAGCAGAGAGAGAGGGAGACACAGAATTGGAAGCAGGCTCTAGGCTCCGAGCTGTCAGCACAGAGCCCATCGCGGGGCTCGAACTCACAAACCGCGAGATCATGACCTGAGTCAAAGTCGGACGCTTCACCCACTGAGCCACCCAGGCGCCCCTAGGGCTTTTTTTACTTTACTAAAACTTGGGCAGCTCGAGTGACTCCTCAGGCAATACCCGCAGCACCCAGATGAGAGTGGAGGGGCCGAAGGCTTCCCAGAAGGGCAAAGAAAGTGGAGGCTCCGAGAGTCGCTGGGTAGTCAGGGCCTTTCAGGGAGCAAAGGCAAAGATTTGGGGCTCAGGGTGGTATTCCACAGGGTGAGACCTTGTTCATCGACCCCTGAGGCTAGAAAGAGGCCCCCAGTCCCAAATACAGGCACACACTGAAATTCTAAACAGTTGAAATTCTAAGCAACGTCTTCACTCCGAGGAAATGGCCGCACAGACACAATCACCTCCACGTGGTGATATAGGGCACGAGTGCAAACTAGTGTGCGAACGGCCTGGGGGCATTTTCGGCTGACACTGGCCATTGACCTAGAGGTCCCCTGGTCGCGTCCAGACCTGTGATGGGGGTGAGCCCTGTCCCCCTCCCTCCTTTCAAATATCATCCTCCTCTCCCTGCGAGGTGCCTAGGTCAGAGGGGTGGCCTCACTGAGGCCCTTCATGGGCTTTGTGAGCTCATGGTTTTGTCTTTATACCAAGCTCAGGAGGTAGGAAAGACAGGCGTCCCTGGTCTGGGGTGTGCATGCGGGCTGTGGCGTCTCTGACTTTATCAAGGTCAGCAGGCAGCGTGGGGCCTGCTTGGCACCTGCTGACCAGTCCGCTCCTGGCTTGGTCATCCTACTGAAGCACTCTTCCGGGGGCCTCTAGTGGACCAACATCTGCCCTTGTTCCCTCCTGTCCCCCCAGTAGAGCATTGCCAATGGGAGAACACGGGAGACAGGCCCCTGGCTTTTCTGTGCACGAGCCTCCCAGGCATAGCGGCCAGGACTTCCAGACTGCTGGGAGGCTGTGCGGTGCAGAGCCCAGGCTTGCCCGCCGTCTCTGATGCCTGAACTTGGGCAGGGCTTTGGACTTTTCCGTGGAAGCCTCTCTTGCCTTTCCTTTGTCTCCTCCAGGCTATGCCGGGAATGGCAATGTTTCACTGTGGGAGTCCTGAGTGTATTAGAGTTAAGTCATCCACATAGGCACACGCTAATCAGGCAGAAATATGCATTGTCATGAGCTAGACCTTAAAGAAATAGCCTGTCCTCCGTTTTGGACTCTTTTGCCCTTTTTGGCCTCTCCCTATTTAAAGCAGTCAGAAAGATTTTGCTTTCGATGTGTATTTTTGGTGTTCTTGGATATCCCATTCTGGCGAGGGTTGGGGAGGGGATGTGACCCTTGACTTGAGTTCCCCCCCATCTGCGTCAGGATCCGGGTTCCTGGCCAGAGGTGCCAGCGAGCACTGGAGGCTGGAGCTATGGCTGTCCTTGGAGCTTGGGCACCGAGGGAGGCCTGTGGTTATTAGGAAGCTTCTGAAGGTTTCCCCGTCATAGCTCCGCACTCTGTTCCTTGGTTTGGGGGAGCGATGGGGGTCAGAAGGAGAGCTCGGGTTGCCTACGAAGGGCCATCTTTAAAAAAAATTTTTTTTTAAATGTTTATTTACATCTGAGAGAGAAAGAGAGAGAAAGAGTAGGAGAAGGGCAGAGAGAGAGAGACAGAATCGGAAGCAGGCTCCAGGCTCTGAGCTGTCAGCACAGAGCCCGGTGCGGGGCTCGAACTCACAAACCGTGAGATCGTCACCTGAGCCGAAGTCGGACGCTTGCTCCTGTCTGGCTGCTGTCCCCAGACCTCTAGGGGAGGTGTGTTGCAGGGCAGGGGCAGAGGGAAAAAGGAAACCAGGAGCAGTGAGCCGAGCTAGCCTTGAGAATGCCACTTATTCCACTCACCGGGTGTGTGGCCTTGAGCAAGTGATTTTCTCTGAGCCTGTTCCTTTCATTTTGTATATTAAGGATAAAAATAACTACCTCGTAGGATTATTATGAGGATTAAATGAGACAGGGCATATAACATGCCCTGGGCTCAGTCCCAGATTCACCAGTTACTATGTGGCCCTGGGCAAGTTATGTAAGCTCTCTGAGCCTCAGTTTCACCATCTGTAAAATGAGAAAAATTATACCTACCTTTTGGTGTTCTAATAAACGCTAGCGTTAATATGGATAAATCCTCTAGGGCAGTGGTTTTCAAAGTGTTGTTGCTGACCAGAGTGTTCCCTGAGAACATGAAGAAATGCAAATTTCTTTTTTTTAAAGTGTTTATTTATTTTGAGGGAGAGAGAGAGAGACAGAGAGAGAGAGAGAGAGAGAGAGACTCCCCAGCAGGCTCTGCACTGTCAGCACTGAGTCCAATGCGGGGCTCGAACCCAGGAACCATGAGATCGTGACCTGAGCCGAAATCAAGCGTCAGAAGCTTAACCCACCGAGCCCCCCAGGCGCCCCTAGAAATGCAAATTTCTAATTTCCAGTAGGCTCTCTGGACTGAATCAGAAACTCCAGAGGTGGGGCCAAGCCATCTGTAAGTGTCCTCCAGGTGATCCCGATGCTGTCTCAAGTTGGAAAGCCACATTCTAGAACAATTCCTGGCACGTAAGAGCCGATCGAAGAATGAGGGCTAACTTCTCAACACTCAAGGGAACCTTGGCGGGCAAACCCTTCTCTACTAGGATGTGAGAAAGGAGTTTCTTGCTCTGGGGCTTTGGAATGCTGGAAATGTTTCTTGTTGACCGAAAGGCGAGCCACTTAACCTCTCTGTGCTAGTTGTCTCATCTATAATATGGACTTATCACAGCACGTCGCTCACAGGATGGGTATAGATCCGATGTGCCTGGCACATAGTACATGCTCAGTAAGTATCGGCTGTGATCGACACTGGCAGGGGCCACGATGGGTTCCTGGACCATTACGTGTTCCTTCTGACCTTCGAGGTGAGAGCCCTCCACGTTGCCTTCAGCAGCTGAGGGGACGTGAGCTGAGTGGAGCCCTGAGTGCAGGAAGCAGGGCCGTTGGCTCTCCTTGGAGCCCTTCGCTGTCATTTAAAAAGCACTGCTTAGGTGCATCATTACCTCCGGTGAGCAAAGCAAGGGGAAACTGATTAGGGACCATGAAGGAATCACGGTAGACAAAAGAGGTCCTTGCGAGTCAGGATGGGACAAAGAGAGAGGTTGGTGACCCCTAAGACAAGGACTGACCCTGGCTGTCTTGGGAACAACACCCATCTACGGACCCATCTACGGACTGTCTGCAGAGCGGATCTGGGCTGAGGGGGAGGGGGGGTTTCAGGGGGCCCAGCCATCACGCCCGGTCAGTGCAGCCAAGTCACTTCCCGTGTGGGGCCTTGCTGTCCCGTCTCTAAGATGGGCAGTGAGAGTAACGGATCAGCCTGGGGCCTCTAGCTCGGGCACTCTGGGAACGTCAGGCCGGAGGTCCAAGCAGCTGGGAGGAGCTGCAGTCTGGGAAGAAAAATCAGGGAAACTTCGGGACGGGAGTCAGTGCAGCCACAAGGCTGCTCCCTCCTGCCCGCTAGCTCTTGTGTCAGACCTGGGTTCACGTTTCCAGAACCCCACGAGTTGTACAACTTTGGGCAACACGCTTTGCTTTTCGGAGTCTCACTTTTCCCGTCTGTAAAGTGTAGGATTGCGAATACCCGCCTTTTTATTTGTAATGCTTGTTTTTATTTTTGAGAGGGTGAGACAGAGCGAGAGCGGGGGAGGGCCAGAGCGAGAGGGAGACCCAGAACCGGAAGCAGGCTCCAGGTTCCGAGCCCTCAGCCCGGCCTGGAGGCAGGGGTGGAACCCACAGTGAGATCCTGACCTGAGCCGGAAGTCCGGGCGCCTGAGTGGCTCAGTCTTACAGAAATACCCATCTTCCAGGTGTGAGTTGGGAATGAAATGGGATCACCCACGTGCGGCCTGTAGCAGAGCTCTGGGCCCGGGAAAGGGTCATTATTCCGGGGATGGCTGGGAACCTGAGTAGGACCCTCTCTGAGACCTCGCTCAGGGCGACCCCAGGTGCCCCTTTCACTTAGGGGCAAGGACAGCTAGGCATCTTATTCTGACGCCCCTCCTCCCCACGCCCCCTATCGCGGGGGTCTCCTCAAAGGGCTCTGTAGGACAGGAGGAGGGCCAGGGCCATGAGGTGGGTCCCAGAGGCGAGTGGAGACTGGTGGTTCCCAGGCCCAATGGTGTCCTGAGTAGTGGGTGCGAGGTTGGGAGAAAGAGACCGGCGGCTGGGGGCGGGGGGGGGGGGGTTGTGCCCGAGGAACGTTCCCGGAAGGAGGGCCGAGAGGGGCTCCGGGGTGTGGGGAACAGTCCAGGCTACTCCGGGCCGGGAGGGGACAGCGGTCCGGCACCCTCCACACCGCCCGTATCCCGTGCATCCCTGTCGTCTGGAGTCTGCCTCCAGCGGGGTCTGCCCGCTCCCTTTCTCTCCTACATTCGCCTGACCCGAGCCTCCGAGCCACCCCACCCCCTCTCCCGGGCCCCCGGTCACCCCCGTCGGTCCTGGCCCGGGGTGGGGGTGGGGGGTCGCCTTCCTCCTGTTCTCAGGATCCGGCAGGTGTCCAGGGGCCGTGGGACCCGGCCCGGTAGGCACGGTCCGGCGGGAGGTGGCCCTCAGCCTCTCAGCCCCTGGGGGCCGGTGCGAGGGTCCAGGGCTCAGGACGAAGAGGCCGCTGCGCGGTGTCGGGGACTGGGTTTGCCCATTTTCCCTTCTTCCCCGCGCGGGACCTCGCCTCGTCCCCACCCCCCAATCCGGGAAATGTAACGAGGGGGCCGCGCAGCGTCCCAGGGGCCATTCCCACCGCCAATAGGCCGAGCCCGTCCGGCACCTGCGGGGTGCCGGAATGGCGCTTTCAGGGACTGCCCCGCGGGTTAGGGGGCGCCGACTCGCGGCGAGGGCCCCTTTTTCTTGGGTTGGGGTGACCCCTGGTGGTCATTCCGTGTGCCGCAAGGGCGGCTCACCGGCCCGGGCCAGGCGGGAGAAATGAATGAGGGCGGGTGGCTCAGGCAGTGTGAGCTGCAGTGAAGAGGACCGTCCTCCCCAAGTTGATACCGAGGGTGACAGAGACCTCCCTGCCCGACCAAGCCACTCCTCCCTGCCCGAGTGTCCTCTTCCAGAGCTCCAGGCTGGGGATTCCCGTGGGGTTTTATTAAGGGGGGTGGTGTCTCTCACACAGGTCTCTTCCTGCTCCCCATGTCCCTGTCGCTGGAGGTGTCCGTGGGAAAAGCCACCACCATCTACGCCGTCAACGGCACGGAGATCTTGCTGCCCTGCACGTTCTCCAGCTGCTTTGGCTTCCAGGACCTCTACTTCTGGTGGTCGTACAACAGCAGTGACACATTCAGGATTGTAAGTCGTGGGGGGAGGGGAGGGGACAGCTCAGCTCCCTGTGCCTTACCCCTGCCTCCCGTTCCCCTGGTCTGGTCCCTTCTGGACTGACATCGCTGCAATGGTCCCCAGAATCCACCTTCTGTCACCCTTGCTCCTAGCATTCTTCCCAGAGCTGTCCAGAAAGATCCAAGTGGGAGGAATGCTTAGACTGTGTTTCCAGAATCCGGGGATTTGTTGGAATTCTTGGCTAGAGTCCTTGTCTGGTCTGAAGGAATACCTGAAACTTGGATTGCTTGTGTGAAAATAATTTAAAAAACGGGAGAGAGAAAAGACCTCTGGAAGGCTTGGAGAGAGGAAATGAGAAGAGGCCAAGGGGAGAAGGGCTGGGGAGCTGTACCTGAAGGGAGGGAAGAGGAAGCTCTCCAGGAGTATCTGGCAGGGCTGTGGGCTGGGGGCGGGGTGGATCAGTCAACAGGGGCTTAGGGAGGAGTCGCCGCCACACGGTCCGGTAGGGGTCCCAAGGTGTAAGTAAGGAAGCCACAAGAGACCAACTCTGGATGTAATTAAACGCCGAACTCAGAGGCTGTTGATGGACGGTGCCGTAGGATTGGGACCCATCCAGGTCTTGACGGAGGGCCAGAATTCAGATGGACAGGGGACAAGGTGTCAGCAAAGGCCGGGGTGGGGGGTGTTGACAGAGGGAAATGAGTGTGGGATTCGCCGGAGTCATTATGTAAAAGGCTTTTAAGAAGAAAGCAGTAAAAGCTGTGCTGCGTTCCAGGGAGACCTTAATGACAGAAAATGGGTTTAGCGTGAAGCAAGCAAAATTCAGGTTGGACAGGCAGAGTCATCGATATTGGGAGGAAACCAAGTGGGGGGGAGCATCTCTGGCGGCAGGCTCTTTCTGGACCTGGGCAGGGAGGCACCTAAGGGATGGGCTTGAAGTGATGCCATGACTTCTGAGGACTCTGATTCTTTCTCGGCCATCTCTTCCCCACCTCCTTCCCCCTATAGATCATAGATGGGACAGTGAAGAATGAGAAGTCTGACCCCAAGGTGAAGTCAAAAGACGATGACCGCATCACTCTGGAGGGCTCCACTAAGGAGAAGATGAACAACATTTCCATTCTGCTGAGGAACCTAGAATTCAGCGACACGGGCAAATACACCTGTCATGTGAGGAACCCCAAGGAGAAAAATATTCATCACCAGGCCACCATCACCCTCCAAGTCGTTGATAAACGTAAGCAGTGGGGGCTGGGACAAGGGATACCCCACTCCGTGTTACGGTGAAATGGCAAAATGGACCCCACTGGTGTTTTCTTTTGTTTTATGCTCTCGAGAGTTACTGGAGTCACATCTGGAGGCTCAAATAACTGAGCAGGAAGTTGTCTCTGCTGCTGAATAGCTCGTGATATACATTTCGCTCCTCTGAGCCGGTTTCCCTCATCTGTAAAATCTGCATTCTCCTAGGGTACCCGTGAGAAGTAGAGACGCCAGCTAGGAGTGTTTTGTGGCGGGGAAGTTCTTGGGGTGTGCCGATTATTACTGCTCTTGTGGATTCCCTTAGCACCTGGTGGTCGCATGCCAGGTATCCAACCAAAAGGGCTACGACTGATCCACAGTGTTCTTCCTTGAGGAATTTGGAGTTCAGGGTAGGACAGAAGACAGGTGAGCAGAGAACTGAAGTAGGGGTGGAGCGTGGAGAGGCACAGGCAACTGAGACTGACAAGAACGGTTGCTCCCCTCTGGAGCTTAAACCCCAGTTGGGGGTTGCCGTCTGGCACGGAGGGAAGGATTGGGGGTGCAGAAGCCGGTGATGAGGAGCCAGGTGGTCACATGACTCCAGGCGCTAGAGGTGGTTAGAGAAGGGGCTGGAGGTGTTAGGCTGGGCTTCGTGGATGGGGCGTCTGCCAGGCTAAGGAGGCACAGAAGCAGAGAAAAAAAGGGAGGGAAGCTGATCAAGGATCCTGCTTGTGCTGCATTTCTTGTGTTCCTGGGGGTTCACTGCCCTCCTGGATGATGTGGGGCCTGGAGAGAGAGAGGCCCATGGGTTCACTGTTGGCCGTGTCAGGGGCAGAGCCAGCGGCCATCCAGGCAGCTCGCCACGAGCCTGGAGCCATCTGGGTCAACGCTGTGTAGAGCGTCACCTCTTCTACTATGTTTGGATGTTATCCCACTTTGTGCGCAGCCTTTCCATGAGGGAAGAGAGGCAGGGAGGCCACATTTATGGAGCATTCCTGGGTGCCAGACCCTGAGTTAGGCGCTGTGTCTTACCTTCGCTCCTTTGATCCTCGCACGTCCCTTTGAAGGGATTTTTTCTCTCCATTTTTATAGCCTCCTTCATTCATCTATTCAGCAGATAGTTATCGAGTACCTAGCGTGTGGTAGACGTTGTTCTGGGTGCCGGAGATACAGCATGAGCAAGGTAGGCAAAGTTCCGCCCTTCTGGAGATGTCCTTCCAGTCGGGGGAGACATACAGTAAACAAAATAAAGAAGAAAATGATGTCGTCGAAGAGAACATAGCTGGTGTTGTGAAGAAAAAGCAAAATGGGGAAGGAAAGAGGGGAAGGCCGCACCAAAAAGGCAACAGAGAAGAAGGACATTTGAGGAAGCAACGGGGATATCTTTGGGAAGATAGTCTAGGCGGAGGGAACAGCAAAGGCAAAGGCCCTGAGGCAGATACCTGAACATCAAAGAGAGCACTGTGGCTGGGAAGAAAAACAAAAAAAAAAAAGAGAGAGAGGCCACTGTGGCTGGAGCGGAGCAAATAGAAATGAGTCGGATTAAGCCATATTGTGTGGGGCCTTGCACGCCTGAGGGAGACGGGAGCCACTAAAGAGCTCTGAGCAGAAGAGTTGACCTGGAACAAGCTCTCTGCAGGGCCAAGAATAGATGATGAAGTAAGGAGTCTGGTGAAGCGGCTCCTGCAAACATCCAGGCCAGGATGTCTTGGGCCAGTGTGGCACTGAGAGGTCAGATTCTGGGATTTTTAAGTTAGGGCCATCAGGATTCTCAGGTGAATGGGATGGGGGGTTTGGAGAAGGGAGGGGTCAAGGATGACTGCGAGCATTTTGGCCAAAACGACCGGAAGGGTGGAATTTTCTCGACGGAGGTCGGGGTACAGGGAGTGGAGGGGGTTCCGGACGTCAGGAGTTCAGATGAGGCAACCGAGGTAGAAGGGTTAGTGACCAGCTCCAGTTACCAGCTCGTTAGTGACTGTTGAAATCCTGTAGTTAAAATCCGGACGACCTGACCCTGAAGACTTCCTGCCACATAGAAGTCGTTAGAGGGAGATGCTTCATTTTTCCTGCACGGATGAAAGAGGCCCAGAAAGAAGCAATGACATTCGATGTGGCAATTTGGGGGTCAAAAGCCGCTGTGGCCCCGCGTCTGGATTATTCCAGAACGGTGTGTGTGTCTGTGAGAGGGTGTGTGCACGGAGGGGGCCGGGGGAGGGCCCCCTTCATGTTGTGCCTTAGCCTGGTGGACGCCATGTTCCAGCTTCTACTTCCCGCCGCAAGGCCTGGGGAGGGCCGCGGACCCGAGGTTGGAGGGCTGCCATAATGCCAGGCTCCAGGTGACTCCTGCTCCCCTCACCCACCCCCTCCTCTCCCTGCTCTGGCCGTGCAGTGGAAGAAGTGGACAACACAGTGACCCTCATCATCTTGAGCGTCGTGGGCGGGGTCATCGGACTCCTCATCTGCATTTTGTTGCTCAAGAAATTCATCGCCTTCGTCATCAAGAAGACTCAGGAGAAAAAGTGAGTTGGCTCCTGTCCCCGCCACGGGCCCACCACCCCGTCCCGTCTCCTCTCGTGGGTGTGCCCGGCGTTGTCTCATCCCACTGCCATCTGCCCCCGTCCGCCTGCATCCTTCCACGTGTCCCCTCACCCCGTCCTCGCTTCCCACTCCTACCCCTCCTTCCCATCCCTAAACCTCTCCTCCCGCCTCCCAGCCCCTCTTCCTCTCCCTCCTGGAGGAATTCATTGAGTTCCCGGAGTACACGGATGCAACCTGCCCGCTCTTTCTCCTCTAGCTGTCTTCCTGTCCGTCCCGTTAGCTCCTCTCCTTCCATGTGCACCTCCCCAGCCTAAGTCTTACCAGAGGACTGACGACGCCTGCTTTGTCGAATCACAGAAAATGCGAGATTCCGTGTACAGAAACTCTAAAATGGGAAGACCCTTATTCTGAAAGTTCACACGGGGGAGACTAAAATCTAAGAAGGCCGATAGGGCCTTGCCGGAAACCCCAGGGCGAGCTCAGGTTTAAGACGGATGGGAAGGGAGAGAGGGTACGGGCCCAGCCCCGGGGCCCGAAATTGCCAGAACTGTGTCGGGCTCCTGAACAGGAGAATGTGAAAAGGCATTTGGAATGTGGGGCTCGAACCCATGAGCCGAGAGGTCACGACCTGAGCTGAAGTTGGATGCTTAACGGTCTGAGCCACCCAGGCGCCCCAGAGCTGCTCTGCTTCTCTTCCCGACATCCCGCTTTGTTGAGAAGAGGGAGTTAGGCTGGAAAGGGCAGAAACTGTACTGGTAAGAAGGGAGGGGTAGAGAGCGGGAGGCTCGGGGTATCACCTCCAGCACTGGCTGGGATGAAGAAATCTTGGATTGTCTCCCTGCATCATGACCAGGGTTTTGGAGAGTTTGGAGAGGGACCAGGGGCATGGAGTTGGACCGCAGTTTGTTTTTAATAACCAGTTTTGCTGTTGACGGTTAGCAAAATTGGAGAACGGACTGTTCAGCATATGGTTTCAGAGCACTTAGAAAAGAAAACAGTGGTCCTCGGGGACCACCATGGGTTCCTCAAGGACAAGGCAGACCAAATGTTTTCTTGCTAGGGCGCTGATAAACCAAGAGGTTGCTGCAGATGATAACACTGCACCCAGAGGTGCAGTAGAATGCTCCAGGGGTTCAGGAGAGGGTGGAACACCAGGGAAGGATTTCTGGCCAAAGGGACATTTGTGATAGGCCTTGCAAGATGGATATAATTTAAGCCCTGGGGAGGGTCAGGAGAAGGGTGCTCCAGAACTGCTGAGAGCAGAAGAGGACAGTCTGGGAGGAGGGATGTGTCTGAAGAACAAGGCATTTTGTTTGTTGGGAGAGCGGGGCGTGTGGTTGGGGCGGGGGCGGGGGGGAAGGAGAGAAAAAGCCTGCAGAGGGGGCTGCGGGGAGACCCCTGGGGACCTGGGAGTCCGGGTTGAGATCGGTTTTCCTTCTGGCTGCATTGGAGCCTGTGAGAGCTCTCAGGGCCTGGCATGATCAGAGGGCTTTGGAAGAATGGGTCTGGCCTCGGTGAGCACAGGGACTGGGTGGGAGGGGAGGCTGGAGGTGGGATTCAGACCCCGGGGAAGCCTGCAAAGGGTCCTGTGGGTGCAGGAAAGCCTGCATTAACCGCAGAGATGGGGTGGCTTCCGGAGCAGAAGGGAGATGCAGGACAGCATCTTGGGATCAATTCTGGGCTTCTCCTCAAAGGCGCTGTTCCCTTTGCCTGGAATGTCTCCTCCCTTTTTCCTGCTCATCTTTGTTGGCCTCAACTTCTGCGACATGTCCAAAGAGCCCTCCCCGATCCCTAGGAGGAGGCTTCCCTGAGGAGAAGGCTTCCCTCCTTGGCACACCCTTCACCCTATCATTGTGTTGGGGTCATGTGTTTAATGTCACATTCTCTGGAAGACTGCAAATTTTCTGAGAGCAGGCGCTCAGCGCCTGCTAGTCTGACACAGCGCTGGGTACCGAGTAGATTTTCAGTAAAGAAATCTGGAGTTCTTGGGAGTACAATTAGATAGATTGTGGTTGTCTGGGTTGGCCATAGGTATAGGGATAGGTAGGCAGGCAGGTAGGTAGGTAGGTAGACAGACAGGTAGACAGACAGACAGACAGACAGGTAGACAGCTAGATTCATCTGCACAGGGGTCTTTAGTGGTATGCCACCGGGCCCTGCTTATTCATTGTTACTAGGATTTGAGTGACACCAAGAATATCAAATTTCCGGGAACTGAGTGACTATTGGAGAACAGAATTGGGATCTAGGAGGAGCTCGAGAGGCTGCAGCTCTGGAGTAAATTTTGCAAGACAAAACCGATGAGGACAAAATAGCAAGTCCTTCCCGAAGGCCTCGAAGCTGGCCGCACAAGTCCGGGGTGAGGCGAAGATAGTCTGTGGCCACAGCAGCCATGAAAAAGCCTCGGAAGCTTTCACAAGCAGAGAGCTCGGAGTGATGTAGCGGTCAGGGCTTCTCTGGAGAGCCGTAGGCAGCCTGGGTACGGGCATCGAGGTGGGGCATTCTTTTTTTTTTTTTTTTTTTAATGTTTGTTTCTTTTTGAGAAAGAGAGAGAGACAGAGCACGAGCAGGGGAGGGGCAGAGAGAGAGAGAGAGGGAGACACGGAATCCGAAGCAGGCTCCGGGCACTGAGCTGTCGGCACGGAGCCCGACACGGGGCTCGAACTCACGAACCGTGCGATCGTGACCTGAGCCGAAGTCGGACGCTTAACTGACTGAGCCATCTAAGCCCCCCCATCCCTTTTATTTTTTAATTGTTTTGAGGTGGGACATTCTTACCCTGGAACATGGCCAGTTCTGGGCAGGCAGGGTGGTGGCACTCCTGGGGGATGTCTTCCCCTGTAACCATCTCTCCTTCCTCCTGCCGTCTCCCCATCCCGCCATACTCTGTCCACACCTGCCGCCCTCGATGCCCTGCTCTGTCTCTCCCCCTCTTCCGTGAGTGTTCCTCCACCTCTGCTCACAGCCGGCTCAGGGAGCCTTGAAGGGCCCGCCGGGGGCCTGGGGAGGAGCTCTTTGTCCTTGACGTACTGCCCGCTGGCCTGGACCCTTCCCCTGGGCTGGCCCAGCCTGGGAATTAACCTGGCTTGGCTTCCCCGGAGCCCTGGCCCCTGGGAACAGCGCCTGGTACTCTTTCTTGCCTTTTGCCACGTTGGGGCGACTAGGTGACGGTGAGCCTTACCGGGTCCTGTCCACGTGGCAGGCACTGTTCCAGGTACTCGCTGATGCCTTGTGGCACCCCCGCGAAGAAGGTGTCATCGTTACGTCCATTTTATAGACGAGGAAACTGAGGCCCAGAGAGGTTAGATGACTTGACCTCTCGCCACCTTTGCCCTCCAGAAGGCCAGAGAGGGCCTGGGGCGGGTTGTGGGGCCCACCGCTTCTCTCCAGAGCTGACCCTTTACTCTTGCTCCTGTCCTCACCACCTCACCAGTGCCCTCTCCTGCTCTCTCCCTCTCCAGGAAAGAGTGCCTCATGAGTTCCTCAGGGAATGATAACACAGAGAATGGGTTACCTGGCTCTAAGGCAGAAGAGAAAGCACCAACCAAAGTGTGAGCCCTTGCTGGGGGCCGAGCAGCCGCCGGGGGCCTCACTTTCTGATGATGGAACTGATGCTTGAGCCGTGTCCGTGAACCCACGTGCCTGAGACACCTGCTGCTTGGCTCCAGCTGTAGTCTTTCTGGGGAGAAACCGGGGTCCTGGCCAGCCTGCCTGCCCCCTCCCAGCCGGGGCTCCCCAGGGATGAGGGCCGGCCAGGGGAGGGGGCCTGTGGAAAGTTCAGGAAAGGAAAGGAGGGCTCGGCGGTGTGGAAGGTGGGTCCCCCGACACCTGGATACATGCGGTCTTCTTCAGTCTCCCCACCCTGTATGAGCAACACCTTGGTTTTCCTCCAGATTTCTCTTTAAGAGAGGCTTGGGGGGCGATCAGTGAGGGCTGCCCCGGTAGCTGGACCCAAGTGAACAATAACGTGGAGATCTAGCCCTTTCTGCGGTGGCTGTGGCCTACAGGCCTCTGTTCAGGGTCGGGGGTGGGGGCCTGCCGGGCGGGGGGGGGGGGCGGGTGGGGGGTGGTGGCTACCGTGAGTGGCTTTGATGGACACCTGACCCGCCAGGTCCCTCTGGGGAGGCGCTTCCTCCCCTCCGCAGGGTGTCCCACAGCCCCTGCCCCATCTCCACCCCCCCAGGCCCCCCCCGTCCCCCACTGCTGCTTGGAGTCTGTGAACCTTCCCAACTGGGGCTGACCATCTTGGTCTTGGAGAGGGGGGTCCCGGCCTTCCTGGAGCACTGGGGGGGCTACTGAAGCCTTTCCTAGCATTTCTTCTCGGGGAACCAGCACTGCGGACGTGGGCGAGCCGGTGTCCAGGGCCCCTCGGCCACACTGGGATGCCCACCCCGGCCCCACCAGTGCTGGCTGCCCCTTCTCCTCGGCATGGCGGGACCATGGCCGCCCCTGGGAACTCCCGAGCTTGGCTCCCCTCTGCTCCTCTTTCCCTGATGCGGCAGGTGGCATCATCTTGCTTGAGGTGTTGCACTCTCAGACCCGCCCTTCCCGTGGGCTCACTCCCCCACCCGTGCCCGTGCCCGTCCATCACACCTTCTCCCCTGGCCCCGGGTTGTTCACCTCCAAGCTGGGGTCAAGGCTTGCTTTCACCTCAGGGATCCTCTCGCTTTGGAAGAGAGGGCCCTTGGGTTTCCTGGCTGCTTCCCGTTCAGCTGTGCCACCCTCCCCCCTCGCCCCCCGAGGGTGGGGGAGGAGCAGGGAGAGAGTTCTCGCAGTCTTCTCTGCTTTTCTAAGAACTGGTTCGCACATCCCTGTGTGTGGGGCTGGACTGTGCCTTAGCTCCTCATGTCCTGGCTCATCCCCTCTGTCCCCTCTCCGGCCTGGACGTGATGGTCAACTCTGGTGTAGCGCTGCTTCCTCCCAAGACCATGCTGGGGACCAGGGAGCTGAGGGGGCCCACCAGTGGCCCCTTGGACAGTGATGGGATCATGGAACTGTCAGGGTCCCTGACAGGGAATTCAGTGGTGGTGTCCCCATGCGGCGGGAGGAGGGGTGAAGAGAGCCGTGTGCGGTCAGGGGAGGCCTCCACAATCTGTTCCCGCTCGCCCCCTCTCTGGCGCTCTGTCCTCTGGGCCTGGGAGGGGTAGGAAGGGAGTAGCCCCCTTCCCCAGGGGTTAGGGGGCTGCCACCGGATTCTCCCTATCCAAAAGCGGCCGCGGGCTTCCCCCAGGGTGGAGGTGGGGGGCGCTGAATAACAGGTGCCTGGCTGTGACCCGTGGCCCTCACCCCACCTGACGGGTTTACAGGGTCCCACTCTGATCTGCCTCTAGGGCTCCCATCCTTGGTCCCCCAGAACTCTAGGCTCGGGCTCAGATTTTTGCGGCTTTGTGAACACACAGACTGCCAGCCTTTTGGAAAACTTCTTGTGGCCACCTTCGTGAAAGCTGCTTGCTTCTCCTTCCCGGTTTCAACATTTCAACGAGCTGAATCCGAATCGGTTGGGATTCCTCTTACTCTCTTCAGAGGAGGCCAGGGTTTCCAGAGCAGGGGGGTGGTGGGGGGAGAGCATCATCCTGTCCGCTCCGGGGTCTACTGCTGACTGATAGGTGGTCACGCATCTGCTCTGGGCTCTGCTTTTCCCGTCTATAAAGTGGGTGTAATAATACTTACCTACCTCCCAGGACTGTTGTGAGGCTTGACCGGTTTTTGTTTAAAAAAATCTCTTTGGCTTGGAAAGGGATCTAGGAGGCCAGGCCTCATCATTGGAGGAGTCGTTCCGAGTCTGTCCTGTCCTCACCTCTGTGTCCCTTCCCCACGAGACAGACACAGACCCACATCGATGCACACGCACGCATGCACTTTCTCTTTCTCACCCACTCTCGCTCTCTTCCCACTCCTCCCCCTTGGAATTATTTTAGTCTCTGCAATATTAGAAACCTTGGCTCTGATGCTTGAAGCTTCTTATCCACGGCTTCTGTTTGGGAGTTTTCAATAGAGGGGGTAGAATGGGGACCCGAGGGGGACACTCTGGGTTGCCCCGGTGCCTGGGGGCACTACGGGCATTGAGCGAATGGGGACTAAGAATGCTCAACTTTGTCCCCGCAACAGAGAATGTTCTGCCCCAGCGCTGGGAGGGCACCCGGGAGGCACACTGGCATGGGTTTGCCATAGAATGTAGACGGGCAAAGCCATGTTCCCAGGCCGTCCGTCAGTGCGCGCGGATCTCAGAGGGTGATGCGCAGGGGCTGGTGAGGGTGTCTCCAGGGCTCTTGGGCTAGAGAGAGCCATTCACAGAGTTAGGGTTGGGAGCCCTGGAGGCACGCAGCTGTGCCCATAGTAAAGTCCGCGAGACCCAACACGAGAGTCTCTTCCAATTCCCCATCCTTGGCCTCAAACGAGGACCTCAGCATTCTAGGCCTTGCGTCTCTCCCTGGGCCGGAATTGAGCAAAAGGCCACCAGAATGAACCTGTGAGGCTAGAGTGGTCTGGGAGAGGGGCCGACGGAGCGCAGGCTTTTCCCTCCTGGCTGGCTGACCAGAGCTGGGGTGTGAAGGGAGGGGTGTGAAAGCGTGCTCCTGAGACGGTGGCAGGTGAGGATGTGCCCGTCGAGTCGGGGGGGGGGGGGCGAGGGGCTGTGCACGGAAGCGCGGTTGTGTAGGAGGCGTGTGTGAAGGCTGAGTGTGCCTGAGATGGGGGGGGGAGACTCGGCACATTTGGGGAGTCATCTTTCCTGGCCTGGGCTATAGCTGTCGGGCCACCTGGAGGCTGAGAGAGGATAAGAGACAGAGGGGAAGAGCAGCCATGCTTCTGGGCCCCATTACCCCCTGACTCCCTCCCACGGTCGCAGGCAGCTGCCATGAGTGTTGGGAGTGGGGGGATGGGGTGGGTGGGGAGGACAAGGAGGGGAACTTCTCGAGAAAATCCTACAGCTTGCTTCACCTTACTCTGTCCCGGGTTGGAGTCCCTCCCCTCCCACCTGATATTCAGAGCTTTTGACACTCTTCTGCATGGTTTATTCCTCTGGCTTGGATGACAATACCCATAGTCAACTCTTTAAATATAACTATAGATCAAAACAGTGCCGCGATGGGTCCGGGAGGCCTCTGGTCCGTGGGTGCCTCTGGGAGGCACGGATATGCACACCCCCAGCCATGACTTGTGTTCAAGCACAGAATGATGGATGCAATCAACTCTCTTGCCTTTATACCACGTTTGGCATTGTAGAACTTTATTTAGCTTTGCCTTGGATGAAATAAAAATTATGTTTAATAGAAACGGCTTGGGGCTTCCATTTTTGGCTTTTGGGGAGTTGGGTTCCGGTTTTATTACCTGCCAGCTGTAATGGGGACAGGTTCCTTTACCTCCCGAGCCCCGGTCTCCTGGTCTGAAATGTTACCTGCCCTGGTATGATCATACGTGGAAAATGTCTAAGAACGTGGGGCACGTTCATTCATAGGGAAGTCGGAAAGCTGGCCCTTTAACACTGGAATCACTGCCAGGGCCCTCCCTGGACTGATGACCTTGGTGATGATTCTGGTCGGGCTTTGCTTGGCTGGTCCCTCCAGCTGGCTGTTCCAGGGGACAGGCTCTCTAGCGGTGGAGAGGAAGGGAGCTGTGGCTTGTACCTCTGCCCATGCACATTCCATATTGTTGATCTTGAACTATCCTGAACATGGATGGATTACCCAGGCGTTCCTGACTTCAGAAGAGTTTCTGCTGGGCATAAGGCCGGGCTGGGAAGGAATTGGGGGTCGTGTGTGTGTGTTTGGACCCAACAGAGTAGAGTCTACTATGACTCCGTACTTTTTTTTTTCTCACACCTGAAACCCTTTTATCAGCAGATCTCATCAGCTCTATGTTCAGAACACATCCTGAACTCAATTGCCTGTCACCGCAGCCATCCGTGCAATCCGGGACCAGGCCACCGTTGCCTCTCACCTGCATCACTACAGTACCTTTCTCACTGCTCTTCCTCCTTCCGCCCTTGCTTGTCCTTGATCTGCCCTCTCGAGTGGTCCTTTCGGCACAAATTGAGATAATGTCATCTGTGCTTCCAGACAAGATAGAGACTTGGGGACCCTGTACCTTTGGACCTCAAACGGCTGCAACACTGGAAAGAGTTTATGATATGGTGGTTTTCAGAGGTAGGACAACAGGGATTGGAAGACGGTGACTCCCGAGAGGGACAAACAGGCGAGGTGGCCCTACTATTTATTGGCCAAGCTTACAGCCTGGAGAGGATTTCCAGGCTGCAGTGCAGGGAGGGGAATTTTGGCCAAGCCCGGTGTTTCTCTGAGTTGATGAGAGGCGCTGAGAAACTGGAAGGTGAAGGCAATTAGGATTCACAGGGCCGGGTACCCGCCCACGGTCCTCTTGAGTCCTCAGCTGATACTCATGGTGGGGGTGTGGGAGCAGACCACGTGAAGCCAGGGCAAGAACCACCAGAAAGGCAGGGGGGTGAGGACCCTGGGGCTGACGGGGCAGCCTTTCATCTTGGGGTGATCTCGCCCCACTCCTGAGGCAGTACCCTTTCAATACCCTTCCCATCTCCCATGAATTACAAAGTTTTCCCATGCCAGTTGGTGGCAATGTTTCTATTCTGGGCCGGTGTGAGCTCCAGATCATTCTCGCCACCCCTCTCCGGTGGGTCTTTCTCAGTCCCAGGTGATATCCTCACACACGCGGCCCCCATTAGAAGCCAAAGACGCCCAGGGGACCCTCTGTGGGTCTCCAGAGTTCTCGCCGTGAAGCTCTCTCTGCTCCAGGACTTTCCGAGGTGAGCCCTACCTGCTTCCTACCCCCATCTCCTTGACTCCTGGAGGTTGCCAGGCTGTGCCCGGGCCCCCTCCTGTACCGTAGGGTGCACCTCTCTCAGGGCTCACTGTCCTGTGTTGCCTCGTGTCCCACGTCTGAAAGCCGTTCTGTGTATCACTTCCCCAGCTTTTGAGTCGTTTCAGAGGGGAGAGTGGATTTACTCCCCGTCTTTGTCAGAAGAAACTTGTGAAAGGTTATGGGCGTGTAAACACCTGTACGCAAATGTTTGTAGAAGCTTTATTTGTGATCGCCCAAAATGGGAACAACGTCAATGTTCCTCAGCTGGTGAACGGGTGGACAAACCATCGTACGTCCGTATGTGGCGTGCTCGTCAGCAATAAAGAGTTCCGTGTGCCAGTGTGGATGAATCTCTAATGCGTTATGCTAAGTGAAAGACTTCAGCCTCAAGAAAGCGCCTACTATAGTGTTCCAGTTCTACGCCTTCCTGGGAGAAGCAAAACTGTGGGGACAGAAACAGATTAGGTGGGTGTGGGGAAGGCTGTAAATAGCAAGAGAGTCTTTTGGGGGGTGATGGGGCTATGATCGCTTGTTGGTACACAGTTGTCAAAATTGGCAGGCCTCTAGACTAACAAGGATGAATTCTATCGTACGTAAAGGACGTCTTAAAAAAAAAACCACAAAAAATTAGATCTTCTTTTGCTCAGAACTTTCTGGTATATTTTACCCCTCACAACTGCCTAGAAGGCTTTATTGTTCTGCCCGTTGCCTCTTTGATATCTTTTTCCAATACTCGCCTTCTGCTGACTCATAGCCTCATCGTTCTCGTTGCTGTGCCTCAAACATCAGGTCCTCTTGTCTCAGGGCCTTTGCACATGCTGTTCCTCTGCTGGAATGCTCTTCCCCCACATACCCACAGGAGTCATTCTCTTGTTTCAATCAGGTCTCTGCTCAAATGTCCTCTCCTTAGAGATTTCTCTGGCCATCGTATCTACAATCATACCTCCCACCAACTCAGACACTTGCTCCTTAACCCGTTTGATTTTATTTCAAAGCATTTATCTCTAGGAGGCCTATGTTTGTTTACTTGTTTATTATGTATCTTCTCTAACTAGGATGTGAATTCCATGGGAGCAAGAGCTATGTCTATTTTCTAGATAGATCTAGATTCCTCCCCCTGCCCTTCCCTTGAAGGGATGGGATCTGCAGAGAGGCTTGCGGTCTCTAACGACGTGTCTTATCTGCTCAGAGGAAAGGCAGCCCTTTGAGGCCAGAATGGACCGTGAGGTCCGTTGTTCGAGCCCTTGACATTGCAAGGCAGAGCATCTGGACATGGCTTTCAGGTGGGCCATGGGAAGGGCAGGGGTCCTGGGCCCTGGCTTCTTAAAGTACGGTCTGGGGACCCGCAACATGAGCATCACCAGTCCACTTGTTAGAAAGGATTTCAGGCCCCACCTCAAATCCACTGAAGCAGAATTTGCTTGGTAACAAGTTTCCCAGGTGACTTGTGTGCACATTTGAGAAGTACTAGTTGAAACTACAGGTGTGGGTCCCTGGCCCAAACCTGTCTCTCACCCTGGGCACTGCCTTTCCAGAGGCTTAGAAAAGCGAGGGGGGGGGGGGGGCGCCGGGGTGGCTCAGTCGGTTAAGCGTCTGACTTCGGCTCAGGTCATGATCTCGCGGTTGGTGAGTTCGAGCCCCGCGTCGGGCTCTGTGCTGACAGCTCAGAGCCTGGAGCCTGTTTCCGATTCTGTGTCTCCCTCTCTCTCTCCCCCTCCCCTGTTCATGCTCTGTCTCAAAAATAAATAAACGTTAAAAAAAAATTAAAAGCGGGGGGTTTGTCCTGCCCAGTGTTCTCTTCTCCTTTGACCCTAAACGGTAAGCGCAGAGGCTTCTGGGAGCAAGCTGGAGAGACCTCGACCCTGTGTGGTAATGACGAAGGCAAATATGGATCGAATCCCTAGGGTCCCAAGTGCCCTTCCTACAGCGTATTGAAGTGTCCTTGTATTCCTGGAAGGCAAGTATAATTCTCCCCATTTTACCCGTGATAGAAACCAAGCGCTGAGACGTTAAAAAGAAAAACAAAAACAAAAAAACAAACACCCTTCCCGAAGATGTAACTCTTGTGTAGCAGAACTGGAATTTAAAGCCAGCGCATTTTGTAGAACAAGCAGACAGACATTTACAGAAATCTGTAAATAATAACGACATGATCGTCACTGACCTACACTGAGCCCCTGCTGGACCAGGGGCTTCTCTGAGTACCTTACACGGATCTGGTTATTTAACTCTGATGGCGAAACCCTACGAGGGGAGCACCAGTGTTATTGGCCCCATTTTACAGATGAGGAAATGGAAACCCAGAGAGGCTCAGTGTTTGTAAAGAGTCTGGAAAGATACGCATCCAACTGAGGTCAGTGGCTGCCTCTGAGGAGGGAGGTCGGGGATTGAAGGGGGAGCTTTGTCTCTTTACTTGAACCCTTCAGCTTTATTTAGAACTGGGTAATCGGGGCGCCTGGGTGGCGCAGTCGGTTGGGCGTCCGACTTCAGCCAGGTCACGATCTCGCGGTCCGTGAGTTCGAGCCCCGCGTCAGGCTCTGGGCTGATGGCTCAGAGCCTGGAGCCTGTTTCCGATTCTGTGTCTCCCTCTCTCTCTGCCCCTCCCCCGTTCATGCTCTGTCTCTCTCTGTCCCAAAAATGAATGAACGTTGAAAAAAAAAAAAATTAGAACTGGGTAATCCATTCACAACACGCACACACTCACGGAGTTGTGAGTGGCGGTGTGCCTGCCTCTAAAGCCCAGATTCTTTTCGCTGCGAAGCCATCTTAGGGCTCTTTTCACCCTCCCGTTCTGTTCTCTCTCACCCTGTCCTCGGAGCACAGGGCTTCTCCCTTCCCTGCTTTTGTTCCTGCTGTTCCCTGTCACTGGAATCGCCTTATTCGGCCATTAGCTCTACTTCAGATGCTGCCTTCTGTGGCATTTCCACACACCTGGATTACAGAGCTCGCCACATCAGGTCTCCCCTTAGCTCCCCCACCGCACTGATGGGCTGCACCCCCCTCTCCCTGTCAGGGTCACACTCGGGCCTCTGTCATGCTGTCTCTGATAGCTGGCTTTCAGGTGAGTTACTGGTTTTAGCCTAGGTTGCTTAGAAAACTTGTCTAAATTTACAACTTAACGCTTTATTGTGGGGTTCCGTCCCGGGGAGGCAGGAGTTAGAGGGAAAGGGCTGGGAGGCAGGGAGGGAGAGAGCGCAAACACAAGGTGAGGTGTTCCGGAGCTGACCACAGCTCCGTAAGCTGACTCACAGGACCATCCCTGGGGAGCTAGGCTTCTCTGAATAGTTCCATCCTGGGAAGAAGGAGGAGTAATTTATCTGCTGGCTCCATCCTGTCTCATCTTCCATTATTCAACATTTGTCCTGTAGATGATAATTTCCGTGTTTCGTTACTCCGCCTTTCCGGGCAGGCCTGGGGAAGCCAGTGCTCTGTGTGGACACAGT